TCTCTCATAAAAATGAATATTACATATTCAAACTCATTATCCTCATCCTTACTTAACAAAAATCAATTCATTAAAATATTATTTCTTAACATAAGAAGCCTGCGAAAAAGAATAAAAGAACTTACTAATTATGTTTCCGATAATCAAAATATATTTCACATTATAATATTAAATGAGACTCGTCTAAGAAAACATGAAATAGACAATGACAATTTCAACTTACCTGGCTATATATCGCATCATTCAACTAGAGAAAAGGAAGGCGGTGGTGTTTCAATTTTTGTGCTTAAAAGTTTTTCTCAAACAAATGAAATCTCCAATTTTGAGTTTGAAAATAGTAACTTTCTTATTGTCAATCTAGTAAAATATAACTTGAAAATTGGAGGATTTTATAAACCACCAAATTCAAATGTTGAAAATTTCCTTTCGAGACTAGGTTTGTTAATCGAAGAATTCAATGATATGTTTTGTTGTGGAGATTTTAATCTCAATTTATTTAGTCATGAAAAAAAAATTATTAAATATAAAGATCTTGTTGAATCAAACGGATACAAGATATTAAACAGTCTTGCGCATGACATGTTCACAAGACAAGACCCTGTTTGGAGAACAAGATCATGCATAGATCATATATTTACAGACACATTCTCACGTTTTAATTTTCATTTCACACTTGAAGATATCTTGGACGTTGATCATCGTGCGCTGATGCTTGATGTTTATCATAGCTCCAATCAAACGCAAAAAAAAAAGATCAAAATATTTGACATTTAAATATATTACAGTATATATACAGATCATGATAAAATTATTAAAGAAAAACTTCTTTTAAATTCTCCAACGGATTCTTTTAATAGTTTCTTGGATTATTTTCAAAAAATCGTTTCAGATCATACAATTAATAAATCAATGAAAGAACGATTTCATCATCATCATCATCAGTAATGGGTAGAACGAACTGTTCTCAGCAAGTTTCAAACTTGCCCGTGATGAGTTTTTATTTTCTTCTCGACACTTATCTCCACAATGGAAATAGTGCGAGAAGTAAACTCGTACCACACCTAGGGTACGTATTTATTCGTGTTTTTCAGGGTAACGAATATTCGCCGAATATTTTTTCAACTCTTTTAATATTCGCCGAATAGCGAATAATTATTCGTTATTGTTTTTTTCTTTNGTGATGAGTTTTTATTTTCTTCTCGACACTTATCTCCACAATGGAAATAGTGCGAGAAGTAAACTCGTACCTTTCACACCTTTTCAAACAAGGAGATTAAGCTACAAATGTTTATAATCCATTATGCAAAATAAATTTTTATAGAAAACATCTTAAATAACATTTAATTCTTAGAAAATTTCACAAAATCACTGTCGGAACATCCTTAAATCTTCTCAACTTTAAACCAGTCATTATCCACTTGTTTCCATCATAATCGGGTCCATAAACTTCCATTGTTGTCAAAATAATGTTGTAAATATTTTTCTTGTTAACAACACAACTTTCACTTCATCGATCTCAAGATGATTCAAGAAAAAGAAGAAGAGAAATTTTTAGCAATTTAATTTAATTATTTAAAACTCTAAAAAATGTTTCGAAGAATTTTGTTTTGTATAAATAGCACTTGAAGTATATTCTTGATCAATTTTAATGGAAAAGAAATTGTGTTCAATGAAGTCGAAGATAAATTTCGATGAAATAGAATAAAAAAGAGACTCTTGAAACTCCAACCATGCTGAAATGTTCATTCTAGCAATGCAAAAAATATCCTTTCCGTGATATCGCGAATCTTATTAAAAAATATCAAGAAATATGAATAAACATTGACTTCTCAACAACCAAGCCGAAATCAGTCCTAAATTGCTTTTTATTACCTCACTAGCAGCACGGTTACTGAATGTCAAAATCGCGCTGTGAAATCGAAATTCAATGTGATGACGTCATAACATTCTTCCATTCAATGATTCGTTGTACATAAAGATTATTGCAGAGTTGAATGAATGGGCGGAGCTTAAATGAAATATTTTGTATTTCGCTTACCGTCATATTTACAATGAGAGATTTGTTCGTATTGCGCAAGCTGCAAAGGGAAATCAGCCGAGAAGAGAACTGATTTACATGAGAATTCGACCCGTGTTCGTAAGACCAAAAAGATGTGAGCATCGACGGGTGAACAAAAATGGCTGTTGTTAAGAGGCGAAGGGGAATCGTATGAATAAGTATGCGAGCAAATATCAACAAACTTCAGTATGTAGTTCGCCCTTTTTTCTTCGTAACTTCATGATTCTCATCGAAACACTACACCAGAGAAGCCCATCGAGTGAATGCTGGTGAATCTGACGGGAGCAAAGCAAGAAAAAAGAGCGAAAGTAAATAGAAAAAAAATTATTGTGCTTTTGAGACTTTGGATAGGAAAAAAGGCTGCGAATCATCAAATAAGCATTCAGTCTGAATTTGTTTACTCGGTAGTGATGATATACAATGGCTTTTAATTGAATCCTACCGTTACAAATATACTTTCAGTGTTTACAGACAAAAAGGATTTTTCAATTTTCTGTGCTGTTTATAAATGATAACGAAAATCAATTCACTGAGAAATGATCAAAAATTATAAAAATGAAGAAAGAAAATTTGTGAGAAATTAATGAAATTTTATTAAGAAAGGAAAAGTTTTATTTAAGTGGACAGATTAAATTAATATTTAAAATTGGTGATATAACTGTAAGTATAATTTTTCTTTTATAACTTTTCAATTAGAAAGAAAATTTTTTGATCAAACAAATTTTTAATATTTACGCAACCGACGCAAAGTGAAAAGAAATTCAACCGTGTTGGGTTTCTCCGAAGAGATTTCAAAAGATAGAAAGAAATCGATGTCAAGAAAAGGAGCATGAAAAAGATGAAAAACGAATGCTTGAGGGAAATTCTGCAAAGTTATCTTTCTTTGCGCAATTGCAGTTTGCAATTAAATCATACAACAAACATTTGTTTGTTTTAATTGTATTGAAACTTTTCTTTACTCTCAATTATTTTTGTATTTTCAACTTAAAAAGACACTTAAGCAAGCGAACGTGATTTCAAATCAAAAGGAATTGAATGAGAAATCAAATCAAAGATTGTTTATTTTATGCTATGATAAGTATGAGTGAATTGTGCAATTTTTCATTTCTGCTGTAATTAATATTTGATGAGTCTTTCTACAAGCATAAAATGGTATGTTCACCCTATTAAACTGAGAAACCATCATACATACCAGGTTCTAACAATATTTGCTACGGTTTCCAATGGTGAACTCACCAGATAGGTAATCAGGGCAGCTTTTTGTGATTGCTCATAAATGCTCTTTCCCAGCTCTTATATCGATAGGTTTTTCACAATTTCCACCCTTGTTGTGTACCATTTTTTTATTAATAGTTAACCATGTTGCAATCATGCAGTGGCACTCTCCATCTGAATACAATTTCGCTATTTAAAAAAATGAACAAAACATTTTCCTTCCTTCCCTTCTCACTCTATGATTACATTTTTAATGATGGCAAGAGTAAAAAAAAAGTTGAAGTGAAGAGAGCAGCTGTGATTTCGTTACAGCCATGTATGTATGCATTTAGTCGCATTCAGTCATGTTGTGCAATTAGAAAAACTGTTTTAAAGATTGTGAAGTGGAAAGTTACTTCCCCTTGGTGCAGCTTCATTGAAATGAATTCTTAAAAGGAAACTGTTGATGAATGAATCAATAAAATATTTATAATTTTACTTCTGATATTTTATAAAAATACTTTTCCAATCTCACTTTAATTCAAAAATGTTTCAAAATATATTTCGACGCTCTCGTGTCCCTTTCGAAGCATAAATGAAACATGAAACTTCACGACAATGCAGTATCGCCGCCTTTTTTCGCCTGAAGCTATAAAAGTTGTTGAAACTTCAAAGAGTGAAACCTTTTCATGACTTGTCAAATGGAAAATAGTCCAGCAGTTTTATGACTTGTGAAAATTTATCCCAAAGCGTTTTTCAATCATTTTATCAGCAAATTAATGGTCAATAATGTTCAATATTTGACTTAATCATGAATTGAAAACGATACAAAGCAAAAGAAAGTTCAAATAGATTTGTCAGTATCGATTTAAATTTCTCTTAATTTCTTGATCAATCGAGCAAAAACCCCAAATGTACAATTAAATACTTTAAGTAAACATTTTGAAAACTTTAACAAAGAATGAAGAAAACATCTGATGAGATCTTGTGAGCAAATGTTCGAAAATATTGTTAAGCATAAATCGTTGGTCGTGACATGTTCAATAATATATTTCTTCATATTTATTTATTCCAACTTATAAAATTGATATTTAATTGTCTTTTCATCATTTCCAATAGGAAATCTCTCGATAAACATGTAATTACCATTTTGACAAACATAAATCATAATTCTACAGAATGTCGATCTTTCATCTCGTGTCACCCTTCAAGTTATCAAATTTCTTTTATTTGCATTTCATGAATATAATTTGGGAATAAGTTGGAAGAAGGCATGTTGTTAGCTTTCCAGATACATAAGTG